AATACTTTTTATTTAAATAAGTTTTTTTTTTTTTTTGTAGTTAACACATTCAGTTCCTTTTAAGGAAAACTAAATAATATGAATAATTAAGTTTGTCAAAAAAAAAAAAAAAATCAACACACTCATAGTGGAATATGTCTATATAATGACACTATAAAACAGCTCTTTCCTTGTCTCAATTGCACAACAAATAGAGTACAATTCTCAGCATCAAACCCCAATACAGAAATGCAAATCTATGACAATTCAATAATAAAATAACTTTCCCCACACTTTATGGGTGATATTTCACTTTTTGACTTTTTTTCATACAAAATTAAACATTTGATAAAATGCATGCATTAATATATTAACTTCGACAGCACTAGTAATAACTTATGTACACTTAAAATGTAACCTTGGATGGGCATTGCTCTGCACAGTCAAGATTTCAGCAAACAGGTGAAAAGATGAAAGATTTCATTAATACTAAGACCTCAGCAACAAAAATGAAAAACTGCGAGATAATGGCAACTTCTTGTACATTTCACATGCATTTTGTAATTGATTTTCTCACATCTATCTACCAATCGCTGATCTAGCTATATATGTATCGATTAAAGATGTGTCGGGTTTGATATTAGCTATAATTACACTGAGATTCTGCTGTTGATTAGCTAGAGGTCACAACGATTTTAGCCTGCTGTAAATTTAAGGGGGGAAAAGGAGAAAAAAACATAGAAAAAGGTGACCTTGGTCCTCATATTATATTGACTCTCGTGTGTTCTGTGAATTTCTGCCAGTGCTGGAGAACTACAACGCTGAGGTCATAAACCAGCATAAAATTACAACCGTGACTACAGGATTCAATGAATTTTAGTAACGTGCTGCTGACACAAAGTTAAATGACTGACTTCCTCAATATGTTGCTTTAGAGATAGGCCTCAGCTGAAGGGTGTTGACTGACACATGAGCTGTAATGCTGCAGAACTTAAGATGTAGCATCACACCACACTGCCACTAAGTGACAAAGCACTGTGAAGCTTGGAGGTATGAAAATGTTAAGAAAAGTGAAAAAGAAATAAAAGCATTTATATTAGGATGCAGTAAAACATTCCCAGCTGCCAGAGGAATTGCTTTATTTATGACTTTTTTCACTTCACATCCAGGTGTAATAGAGCCTCTGTTATCAGAGTAAATGAACATGGGGGCTGCACAGTAAACCTGAAGTGCTGTGAAAATAATGAACAAATTCTGTTTCTTGGAGGAGTTCGCTAGTTTATTTGAATTCCTTTAAGGAAATGCGGAATTGCTACAGAGTCCAGAGATGGAAACTGCCACTTCTCGTTTGCCCGACAGAGTCGAAAACCTAAGAGAAACTGGCAAGCATAAACACCTGGAGTTGATAGTCAGAGATCCTCACTGACAAGAGCCCTTATTAGACTGCCCACAGTGTGGCTTAGCTGCTGGAAAACTAAGGGTCTGGACATATGGAGTTCACACAGGGAGGTTACTGAAACACCAGAATCAGAAACATTATTTAATTCCACTGAAACAGGACATTCTTTGACTTTGATAGAATGCTTCGCAGTAGCCATTATAAAAGTGCTGTCTTCTTTATTCTGTTCCCTGGAGTCATTCCATGCTGCTGTGCATTTAAGAGATCGACATCCTGGACAATTCAAGCTGTTCATTCATCAAATTGAAAACCCCATGTCGGTGAACACAATTTTCTGTAGAAGCTTGCACATACACTGCTGAAAATCATTTTCTTAATCAGTATTTCTGTTGTACACACACACACACACAAAATAAAATTTACTTGGAAAAGGAAAAAAATATAATTTTAGATATATATTATACAGAACTGTTAAAGAAAAAATAGTAAACTAATGAGAAGAGCAATGGGAGCTCCTGTGTGTATGCACTCAGGCATAGGCATGCTCAGCGCTGTCAAAATAAAAGTCCCAGCGCTATCAATTTAAAAGTCCTGCTTCGTATAAAACAGAAAAACTTACTAATAATTAAAAAATGCAAAAAATACCGGCTGATATAGCAGTTGGCTACTATTCAGTGTGAATAGATTTTTATTTGTTCTATTAGAAACAAAGTTGTTTTTCACACTCCCATGCTGCTACACTCAGCACAAAAAAGATATTGAGGAATTTTGTTTGAGACACATTGCAGCAAGTCAGTGTTAAAGGCAGGGTAGACAATTTCGGAGAGGCTAGCAATAGCAAGCTAGCTTTGAAAGCATAAGATCCCACCCTCCCTGCAAATCAATCTCCAAAGCCACGCCTCCTCCAAAACACATGAACGCACACAGGCAGACCAGAGGCTGACCAGCGATATGATGAGAGACATTGGTGGAGGTGGAGGTGGAGGGTTGAATGCAACGTTGTCAGATCACCTCATGTCTCATTCACCGGTGAGAAAACATTACACTACAAAGCACATAATATTGCAATAATTACGCCTTCCGTTCTCGCTCGGTCTGCGATGATGACGTATCATGTCTGTTCAAACAGGGTGCACGGAGGTATGCAAATACATATGCTGACAGCCACAGGCAGGTAGCACAGCCTATCGTAGCCCTCCGACCAAGGAATATGATTGGACAAACATTTTATGCACCTACACCTTCCACAGACGATATAAATACATATAAATACATTTAGACCACTTAACTTATTGATTGCTGTCGGGATGTGAAGAGACTTTCAACCAGCATAACAAAAAATGTTTTTGAAACAAATCACCTACCCTGCCTTTAATCTAATCAATGAAATTACTGCCAGAAAAGTTTGTTAGTAAAGGGTTTTTTGATTATGTAAATAATACCAAAAATACAAAAAATGTTCATAACGATAATTAAACAAACTGAAAATGATGTGACAAATAACACTGTAAGATATAAATAATGCTTTTTTGAAAACAAATCTATACAAAAAATTACTGATTTCCAGTCAAAATCAATAATGCCACAGACTGACCTCCTTCAGCTGTACGAGCTAAAGCAGAACAGGGAATGAACACCGTTTACAACCGGTTGATTAAACCCCTCAAAAGGATCTACATATAGCCATGTAACTAAACTATGAAACTATGACTAAAACAAACAAACAAAAATATGTAAAATGAAGATAACCTTGAGCAGCTGCATATTCTATTTTGCTCTTAATTAAAAAAAAAAAAGTATCTATAAGCACCACCACAACCCCTAAACATCACATAAATAAACCAAACCAATGCAGGGAACCTGACATGCCAATCAGATGGTGTCTTTCTGTTTCTAAGCAGGCAGTACTTGGGCAAAATTATCTACAATGTGGACCAGACTTTATGCAGATAGTCAAAGTCCAGTAGTCCAGAGTGTACATACTCTAGAATTGTGCTAAGACACTTAAGGCTGTAGCTGAATTTCAATCAGACTGTGAACGGCATGACAGACGTCTCTTAAGAGTGCTGCCAGGCTGTAATAAGAGTTCAGTCCTGCTCTTGAATACAGAATAGACGGATATAGATCACTATGCAATGAGCTTTAACTGGCCAGTAAACTGGAGCAGTCTGAACATCAGTGCAGAGAAAAATGCTCCATCTCACGGTCAGAGTGGAACAGACCCCGATATTCATGCTTCAATATGCTCATTCTTGGGAAATAAAGCAGAAACAGAAGAAATGCCTAGTCCTCCAGAGCCCAATTAACTCCAGCAAAAGGAAGTCAAGAAAGCTGCATTGAAAACAACACATGCCCAAAAATCCTTCATTACTCTGTCAGTCTCTTTCTTAAGTTTGGGCTGAAAGGTTAAACAATAGAGCAACGGAGACACTTCACGCTTAATTTAACCAGACTTCTCATCAACATAATTATCAAAATCATGAGAGCCATTTTGATGCTGTTAGCAATGATTACTCGCTTCTTTGCTACACAAATTTGTTTTACCTATAAATACTGGGTAATTAAATTTCACATAGCAGCATTGTATTCAAATGAGAAAGCTGCACTTCTGAAAATGAGAAGTACTATGTAATGTCATACTAAATTTGTATAATAACACCAAGGCCCTTTATATTCATCAAGTCTGAAATAATGAATTAAACAAATAAAAAAATATATAAGACACTCTTTCTCATCCACAAAACACCTGATTGTGTCAAATTACATCAATCAATTGAGGTGCAGGGAAGTTTAAATAGAGTATTTGACACTGGTGTTACTTAAGATCACACATCTGATGTCTTTTTAACTGGAATTAAGAATTATGAGAAAAATATCTGGTTCTAATTACACCCGTTTCAAACACCCTCACCTCTCAGACCTATGTGTCAATTCTCCTCAGGAACGTTAATTAGGTAATTCCACTGGATTCTTCCCTGTCTCCCTAATATATCCACCCATAATCTATTATGACACAATAATAAAACATGCAAAAAGGCTGCAATTAGTTTCACAGGTTGTAAAGATGGGCTATTAAGGTCTCGCTAAGGCTTCCTCAAGTTCACGTTGCTGGATTCCTAATCTTCATGGCATCTCTCATAAATTACACAGCTAGGTTAAAATGGGTCACACTAACTGATCTCCAAAGCCATGCTTTCAGACAGCTCTATAGCCGCCTATCAGCTAGTGTAATGCACTGATGAAACACTGTGACGCTGACATGATGCAGGTCAATGTGTCCAGCTGCTCTTAAAAGCCTTTCCTTTATTATATCACTCTCAATATTAGAATGCTTTATAGATATACAAATCATGCAGAGTTCTAATGGAATACGCACAGTACTCTTTAGCCAAACAACTTTCCATTACTAGTTTTTGTAAAAATAATGTGATATTTTTGCTACAGGGGGATATTAGAAAACTTTTGATATGACAATTTATTCATGGTGCTGACTAAAACAGCACTATTACTGTTGCTTATGCTTTATTCAACACCCTTAAAACCAGTGTATTACCTATATGCACATAAAGACATTTTATGAAATAATTTACTTCCAATAAATACAAGTATTTTGATTGTATACCTTTTGAGTTGACGCAAGCCACAGTTTGAGTCCTGCTTCCATTTCCACAGTTCCCTTCGCTGGGCACACAAGCGCCCTCAAACTGCACCTGCCACAGGAAGCATACTGGATCCTCACAGGGCATTGACTCCAGGAGATGAGCACAGCTTTCTGTTCCTGATCCTTCCTCCAGCACCTCTCTCCTCCTCTGCCTGTAGCCTGGGAACAGAGCGAGAAACAGGTGGATTAGGGTTATTGTGAGGGAAAATGAGTATCAGTTTCTGGCCAGTGAGTTCGGAACTGAAATTCTAGTGGTGGCTAAATAAGTCTATAATAGAAACTCATTTGAAAAGGCTTTCTGACACAGCTTTTGTTAGCAGAATAAATTCCTACTCCTGCTCTGCTGTAATTTGCCTGAATACACTCTTTTAATTTACTCATTTGTAAAGCTATGAGCTATGACTGCAAACTGAGACGCCAGTCATAAATGAAATAGCACTGGAATATGAACATTTAACACCTAAAAGTACTGGTTAAACATGAAGGCAAAACATTGTTCTCATAAAAAAACAAAAAAACAACTATGCATTGTGCTGCTAGAAAGATTGTCATCATCTTTTAATGCTCGTCTGTCTGCGAAAAACAAAAACAAAATACAAAACTCTTAGACCAACTGTAATTAATATTTCATAAACTGGCATACGTTCTCAAAGCCAGCTCCAGCCGATATCAATATGCATTACAATACAGTGCATAAGCGAGAAAAAAGATGAATCAGGCATTACTCCAAGCATAATTTATCAAACAAGATGATCTGATGACTAACATGAGGGTGGGATGCTAGCTGTCTGGATACCATCTGATCCTGTTTACGGTCTGTGATGAGTAGATACTAACTCCTCATATCTTTGCTCCTTGACTATGTGCATGCCAGTAGTGAGATTTGGTTCATCACACACCCCTGCAGGGGGCTTGACTTGGCAGTCCTTGGAAAATCATAGTGTCAGCCAAGCCTTTGAAATAATCAAAACACCCCACAGCTCTCAACACTGCTTTGACACAAAAAACGGTAAACCCTATAAGACATGTGTGTATTGTGTGACGAGAGCTCTGAATATATCATATATATAATTCAAACCTTGGGGTATTACCAGTTTGTTTCACTTATCACAAAATAATTGAGAAGACATGAATAACACCCTGTATCTAAGAACAGATGTACAGTATATTCTGTAGACTGCATTATGAATCATTTGTTCTGTTTCAGAATTCATAATATGATGATTCCATAAAACTTGTCTATATTCTACATACGTATTCACAACAATGGCATCTTCGGCAAAAACATGTCCATTTATCTCCGGGGACAGTCAATATGAATCTGTTTTATAACTTTTGTAAACCACTAGCATTTTTTTCCACAGATAACAGGTCAATAGAAACAGTCTTGTATTGTAGAGTATTGTATATTTTGGTTCCAAAATCTGTAGCCCAGTGTTTTTCTTTTTGTTTTTTTCTTAGATATCCATTTCAAACATTGATATAATATTCCCAGATGCAAAAATTTACAATTTATCTCTAAATTCTATAAATTACTGTCAAATATAAAGAGTGCTATTGTTAAAACCTTCCCACTGGTGGAACTGGCTTTATTTTTTACAGGGACATATTGCGCTAATGAAATTAATTTGTTCAAAATTATATTTATGCCATCCATCATCCATAAATCCTTCATATTTGTTATATAGATTCTTATAACTTTTACTGTCATCTCAGGAGGGTTTCATATGCTGAGGAGAGAAAAGTCCTGAAGAATAGCGCTAAAATAAAGTGAGAAATAAAAATGCTTCAAAATATCATTTTCTGTATTAAAAAATCTATAAAAAATACAAAATATTACATTTTACACACACACACACACACACACACACACACACACACACAAACACACACAC